GCTGGCTGGGGAATTCTGGGAGTTGAAGTCCACATATCTTAAAGTTGCCAAGGTTGAGAAACACTGCCTTGAATCAAGACAGACAGTAGCTCCGTGTAGCTCCAGTAATATGACTTTTCACGTGCGAGGCATCTCCTCTAATCCTCAAATTATATTAAGTACTCAGAAAGAGGAAAAGACAGCTGTCTTAGACAGTTGCTTGACTGAATGCAGGTTTATCTGCCCTACTTGGCAGTAGATTTCCCAAGTTTATGATCTGTCCTTCCCAAGCTGCATTTGCAATGGGGAGGTTTCACATGCAAATGACTGAGTTATAAAGAGGAGGGGGCTTTTGGCCTGCACCTGTTCACATCTGGCAGGTGGGGTGGCCCTAGGGTTTTTTCCTGATCCTTTCCCCGCTTCTGCCTCCCCAGATGTCTCCCCAATTGTGGCTGGTCTCATTGGTGCCACCGTCCTAGTGGTGTCGGTCTCTGTGACGGTGTTTGTGTGGACCTGTTGCCACCAGCAGTTGGAGAAGAAGCAGAAGAGTCCCCCTTACAAGTTCATCCACATGTTGAAAGGAATCAGCATCTACCCAGAGACACTGAGTAACAAGAAAAAAATCATACGGATCCGGCGAGACAAGAAGGGCGTTGCCAGGAAAGACGGGAACGGTCACCTTCTGGTGGATGCAGCCGAAGCCGGGTTGGTGAGCTCTGACAAAACGTCCAATGGGTTAAATGCAACTTCTTGCGTCAACCAGCTCCCAATCAAAGTAGAATATGGAGAAGAACTGAGTCCCAATCAAAGCTTGACCCCGGCGGGTAGCAAGACTTCCTCACTGTCTTCTCCAGAAGAGGAGATCATGCTAGGAACCCTAACCTTCTCTGTGGATTACAACTTTCCCAAGAAAGCCCTCGTGGTGACTATCCAAGAAGCCCACGGCTTGCCAGTGATGGATGAACACAATCAAGGGTCGGATCCCTACATCAAGATGACAATCCTGCCGGACAAGAGGCACCGAGTGAAGACACGCGTTCTTCGGAAGACCTTGGATCCCGTCTTCGACGAGACCTTCACCTTTTACGGAATCCCGTACAGCCAGCTGCAGGATTTGGTTCTTCACTTCCTAGTGCTAAGTTTTGACCGCTTTTCTCGAGATGATGTCATCGGAGAGGTGATGGTGCCACTCGCAGGGGTGGACCCAAGCACTGGGAAAGTCCACCTAACCAGGGAGATCATCAAGAGGAACATACAGGTATGGAAACTTGGTCTTCAGGTTTCACCTACAGGTTGTTCTCTGCATGGAACCTGGGAGATGGGTTCGATTTCAGCTCTCGTTGGGGGCTAGGCTGGCTAGGGAATGAGGGGAATTGTAGTTTGACACATCACGTTAAGGAAGGAAGGCAGTCGTAGCTTTTTGGCTCTTCAGCAGGAAGGAAGAGGGTTTGGAGTGAAAGCCTAGCAACGTTGAAGTGGACGCTTCATTTCTAGCCCTGACAAGTCCAGAGCAAGCAGATTAGGATCTGAAAGGTGGAAATGGATGGAGCAAGCTAAGATGGACTGAAAGGGAAGAAGGCAAAAGAAGCCATAAGGCTTATTTTGCCTCTTCGCTCCCAGAAAGTTTGCCCGGTGCAGGGGACCAAGTTGAGAAGCATCCTTATTTAATTAAGATAAGGACGATCTGTAATCATTCTCATCGGATTCTTTCTGGACGAGCGAACAGCACTTTCTCTTCCCAGCACCAAGGAGGGCAAAACTCACAGAGCAAAGATTTTTGGAGGTAGCAATCACATCTAAAAATCTGGGAGCGTGTTGCCAAGGCCGTGGGGCAGACACGCAGCAAAGCCTATCCTGTGGGACAGAGAATCAGACCTGTCTGCCGGCCATTGCGGTTACTACGGATCAATCCAAATTATGCCTTGGCTTCATTAAGTATGCATTAGGTTTTTGACGTATGGCATTTCTAGAGGTGTAGTCGAGTTAAATCTCAGCAATATCAGGGGTTGGGGATCACGCTGTCATCAGATCCACAAAAGGTAATGGAATAATAAATCTTTTAGTCTTTCGAGTGCCCAATCCCCCCCTTTTTTTTTGGGTGGGGGGCTAAATCCATTAAATGGGATTGTGATTTTTCAAATAAAACCCTGATCCTTTTGAAGGATCTCAGTCTCCCCTCACTCCGGTGCCCCCTGGCTAGTCCCAATTACAACTCCGACGGGCTGGGGAAGGTTGGAGTTATAGTTTAAGGCCGAGAGGGATTGTAGTATTTTTAAGACGTCTGGAACCCACCCGTAAGGAGGGCTATTCTGGGCAATAGAATTGCTGTCCCACCCCACCCCAGTCATGAGCAATAACACAAACGGGCTTTGCTGAGAACAGAATTTAGAACAAGGATTGGGGTCAGCAGGCTCAAAAGCCTCGAATGCAATCAGGAGCAATCAGCCAGGTCAGCATTTGGAAAACCGAACGCTGCCTGGAACAGATGCTAAGATTGCAAAAAAAAAAAAAAAAGGAGAATCGTCGTTCGAGCACTGTACAGTCCTCAGTCCCGAACAGAGCTTTCTGCAAAGTGGTCCTGCCTGGGATTAGAATCCCCATCGTCCCCGGGAGAACGATGCCGTAGTCCAACCCCACCTAGCCCAAAGGCCGCTGCAGGAAAATAACAACACCGTGTCTTGATTGCACCAATTGCCTCTATGGAATTGTAGCTGGGGGAGGGAGAAGTCAACGCCCAGGACCTCGAGGTTTTCTGAAGCCGTGATGCTCTCGGGGTGGGAGTCCGACGCGAGGGTTTTCCTCCAAGAAGGCTCTGTAGGAATTGCAAGGTTAACGTCCCAAGCGTGGCTAGAACGGTGGGAGAATGCTGTTTTTCAGATAAAATCACGCGGCACAGCTGTTAAAAGCCTGGGCTGCAATTCAGACTTGGATCCGTAATTAAGCGAAGTGTGCTTGTGTTAATTAGCGGGGGTTGAGAGATGCGGCGGCTCCTCTCTCCCTCCCCAATTAAATCCGCTAATCGGCTCCGCGTATGATATACGTTGCTTAATTTACATAATTTAACCCCAAATTTATGAGCGTGTTTATTTTTGATGACTCCGACCCGCCGGCGAGCAATCATTTGGGGCTGGCGGAGCATGCCAGAATACAAGTTTTTAAATAACTTTTTTTTTTAAAAAAAAGAGCTTCACCTTCTTTTCTTTCAGTTGTGATCGTACCCTTCCCTTACTGTTGGGAGCACCCAGGGCAGCTGATGATCTCGTAGCGTAACCAAATTGTGAGAAAAAGAAATTAAACAAGCTTTTTAAAAAAAAAAACAGGGAAAGGAGACAGAACAGGCAGTGAACAGGAAAACAGCAGTGGGTTTTTCAGGCCTACAATTTAGCCCCCTGGATCCAGATCGAAGGCTCTCAGGAGGAGCCAGAAAAATCCTTAGAAGAGAAATATTAATATTAGGGAGGATTGCTGTTAATCAAGTCAACTGTACCTTCAGATAAGGTGCAATTTACCATAGTTAGAATGACTGTCACGTTTACTCCCTTGTTAATTTCTTAAAGGACTGACACACATCTATAGCACTGTAGCAAGCCATGGGCAGAAGATTCCTTTCATTGCATCAAGGCCACCTTTAGCCTCCTCCAAATTTTCAGACAGGTTTCCCCAACCCTGAGTCTTTCTCCTGCCTTTTCCAGAACCCTCAGCCAACATCTGGAGAAGACCGCTCTTGATAAAACAGCAGCCTTCGGTGCTTGCTCTGTTGAACGGCTCCCGGGCTTGAAACATGCCTCAATCAGAGCTCCGTCTTGGAGGCCAAACGAGGCCATCGCGTTTACACGCACCTTTCTGTTTCAACTGGAAGGGTTTGGGTTTGGTTTGCAAAGCGGATCCGCTGGGAAGAGGGCTGGGGTGCAGAGGAGGACGCAGAAAGCTCGGTGCGAAAAAGAAGTGGGATTTGCATCCGTTCCTTGAGGTCTGTCGAGCTTCCAGTGCCGTACAGCGGCAAGTCTCCAGGTGTTTCTGGAGAAGGATCTGGCTTCCCAAACTCTAACAGAAACGGCTTCCTCTCTTGATTTTAAGCCCTGTGAAAAGTTAAGAAAATGATGGACGTGGGCAACGAAGCCTCCTTGGCATCTGCTGGAGGAGGGGGAGTTTGCCACTGGGCGGCGTTTGAGCGTCTCGCTGGATAATACCCAAACTACGTTTGGGGGCCGTCTCTTCAAGCCAGGGCACTGGCTAAGCCCTGAATGTAGGGCACTCAAAACCATGCCAACGTGGCCACTATTCACAGGATTAATAGCAGCTTTGTAACACTCGGCAAGGTTCCAGTTTAATTCCGCCGGATGAACTCGACAAAACCAGATCCTTCCCTCCCACCTTCCTTCTTTAAAAAAAAAACCAAACTCTTCCAGATGAAAAATTCTTTAACCGTAAGTTTTTAAAACAAAATGTCCTCCTTTCCTACGGCTAGCACAGCCAGAAAGGATTAAGTTTTCACAGGACACTGCAAAGGCTCGATAAAACACAAAGCCTTGGGATGTGTGCCTGTTGTTGAGTTTGGGGGAGATGTAAACACAGTCTTTGGGGCTGGATTCGTTCCTTGTCTTACTGGGCATGAAGGGGAACCTCCTTTGGGTAATAAGGGTCAGATCCTGTATGTAGCCAGATGGAAGAAGGCTGGGAACTCTGTTCTGGGGCGATGGAAAAAACTCCTAAAAAGTGACAAATAGAGCTTTGACAAACTCAGCATGGGGTCAAAATTAAGCAGGTCAAAGATAAATTGGTATGGAGAATGGAGAATAAGCCATCGAAAAGGTTATCACCACTGTGACCAGCACAGGAGTGAACGGTTGTGTTAGGTTTTGATTTCATTTCCTGATTCAGTTGCAGTTGTGAGTTGTTAATGTGGTTCTTTTAGCGGGCAAGCCCTGGTCAGGCCAAGCTGTCCAAATTCCGAACGTGCCTGCTGGTCCAAAAGCTTGGAACAGGCAGACAAAATGGTGGGAGAAGAGCATCTCTGGGACAGGCAGACACTCAACAAGGATTCCATTGGGTCTTCTCCAGAGGGCTGAAAATCCTCGCCTGTTGAACACCCTGGGAAATTGAAACAGGGTAGCAGAGAAAGAAGAGCTAGATAGATGACCCTCCATCTGGACAGCGTTGAGAGGATTAGAGAAACGCAGGGAGGCTGGTGCCATCAACAGACAGTGGTCAATAAGTTGATTTCTGGCGTCAGAAGCTAGTTTTGGGAGAACGTGAGCAAGAGAATGCTGTGGTATTCTTATCCAAAGATGCATCTGGGCGGCCACCATGAGAACAAAATGCTGGAGCACATGGGGTGGAGGTCAGATCTTGTCAGGTTCCCCTCCTACCCAAGCTGCAGATGTTCTCCTATGGTTGCCCATCCAGACTTTGAGCGTCAAAGTGACTCAGGATTGCTGGTGGGAGATCTGAAGAAGTTGGCCAGATAGCCTTGGATAACGTAAGGTGGTCATTCAGGACATCAGGTGATGTCTCCTCTCTTTCCAGAAATGTGTCAGCAGAGGGGAGCTACAGGTATCCTTGTCCTATCAGCCTGTCACCCAGAGGATGACCGTCATGGTGCTGAAGGCAAGGCAGCTGCCCAAGATGGACATCACTGGCCTCTCAGGTAGAAGCTATTTTCTTCAGCTCATCCTTGTGTTTCCTCACATGCCTTTCAAAAGCACTTTCAGCAGGTTGCTGCAATGTTGATTTACACCCCTTCGACCCCAGCCCATTGTATGATATTTTGTATTATTATATTATTTAATGCGTTAGGGAAGGATGAATCAACTTGAGCCCAGGTTCTCTGAAGAAGAGAAGCTTCATGACCTTGCCCAGAGCATTAACATCTTCAGAAGAAGCCCTGCTCTTGGCTCCATCGCCAAATCTTGGTGGCTGCTTCCAGATGTTGAAGCTCCCTGCCA